ATCTTCAGCTGAGCAACAGTCCTCCGCACAGGGGCAGGATGATGCATTCGATCATTGTGTGGCTGATGGGCACCCAGGGAGCTTCCAGTTTTCTGTTACTGGAATAACACTAGAGTCACCGTGTCTGTATCCAGGTAACTTTATGGTCTGGAGTACTGGGACAAAAAGATTAGTTTTCTTTGTTTTTAATCTAAGAGTGTGTGTGTCTGTTTTTAGTTTTAACATACAATGCTAGGCTGGTTTCTAGAGCGATGCTAAGAACCCATGTTTCTAAAGGCAACATTGTGATAAGACACCTAAGCCTCTACCTTCTGCAGCTCACTTGGGAGAGACCGTTGTAGGTGAAAAACAAGGGAAGAACCCACAGTGAGGAGATTTTGCTTGATACAGAAACTGGGGGCCTAGAGACAGTCTGATTTAACATCTTCAACATATTAAAAAGTTTATATAAATAAGTAAAATGCCATACCCACAAGGAAAGATGAGAGGCCATGACCAGAGAAATCATAAAGAAAAAAGTAAAAGCAGCTAATAAGTACATTAACAATACTAACATCACTAGTTAATTTTTAAAATATAATAAAAAATTAGAACCTTAATTTTTTGGCCCATGAAACCTTAAAAATTTAATATAGTAATGTCCAAGGCATGTACCATTTCTTGACAGCAAACTCCTTAGCAAAAGTACTAAAACTGTGAAAATGATCCAGACTTCTGCCTCTAAAAACTGATTCTAGGAAAAGAATCAGGGCTTCACAGAGACACGTGAATGAATGAATGAATGAATGAATGAATGGCCCATAATAAATTATATATCCAAATGAAAATCAGAAATAACTTAGTTGTTCCCAAATAGAAGGACAGACTAAATTATAATTCATCTACAAGACAGAAAACTATGTAGCCACTAAAAAAAAAAAACACCTTATTTTGAGAGACAATAAACAGAACAATGTATAAAAATAAGATGCATGTCATAAATATTTATATACAATATGATGCTCATTTTTAAATTAAAAAGTACAAAGTATCTGTATACATCAATATCTCTCAAACATTCTAACATAAATTAAACATTACTTCATAATTTAAAATAAAACAATCTATACTTTAAAAATTTAAAGTAAGATAATTTTTTAGGTTTCAGAAAAGGGTTATCTCTTTTTCAACTATACACTAAAAGTAACTGAGAAGTATTTGTATCTTGAGTATATACCTAAAATCCTTTGTCATTTATGAGACTTCCATCATACCACTGAAAAAGTCCACACTTGCTGATATATATGCTGATATAAACTCTAATAATTCCACCTCTGTATTTAAGGGGGCCAGACAGATTTTTAAAAAATATTTGCTTAAAAATAGGTAGAAGTAATTTCGTATGTTAATTTTATCTGCCCTTCCAAAAGATGCAAGCTCACACTTACCTCAAATGTGTGGTCTAGTCTGTACACTGACACAGAATTGACCGCACTGACTATTTCCAACACGCCATTGAAATTATTCAAATCCTGGAACACTTGCAGAACTTCTATTATCCTGCTGAGCACTGCCACCCGCTCTTCAAAATTCTCTGCTTCCACAATGCATCTAACAACAACAAAATATTCGTGCCTTAGAAAAGCTGCTTCAACTCACTTGGAAAACAAGAAACCTCTTTCTAAAGGCGAAGTTTTAGCTTAAATATGACTTCACATCATGACTACCAAGGAACAATAAGACAGAGTGAATAAAAACTTACTTTTCAAACCAGAGAGTGAGGTTTGTTGTGTGGCGAATCATTTTTAATAAATTTGGAGAATTAATTTCTTTATCTTCTTTGGTCCAGACACTCCCTACAAGTTCAGAAGGTTGGACTTTCCTGTAAAACATTACCAATCAATACTAATCTTTCTTAAAACAACACAAACATTCTCCCAGGGGATATGCAAAGACCCTATTCAACTTCATCTTCAGCTGAGCAACAGTCCTCCGCACAGGGGCAGGATGAT